AAAAATTAAATTTTTCGAAAAATTAAAAAAAAATTAAATGATTTTTTTGAAAATAGTTTTAAAAAAAATTTTAACAAAATTTTAAAAACATTCTACAAAATTTTTACAAATTTTTACAAATTTTTTAATATTATATATAATATTCATTTATATTTTATTTTATTTTATTTTATTTTATTTTATTATATTTTATTTTATTTTATTTTATTTTATTTTATTTTATTTCGTTTTATTTTATAAAATAAAACATCTGATTTATCTGGAAGAACCATCAAACTGTTTTGTAGAAGAAAAGTAGGTTTCAAGTACCTCAAATACATGTTTATGACAGATTCTCTGTTTTCCCGTGTAGGTGGATGAGGTGAAGACGAACAGGACTTTAACCATCGTGATCCTGGCCGTTTTCTCCTGGAGTCTCATGCAGTTCACACTGGTCATGACCGCGACCCGCTCCCGTACCCGCAAAGCAGGAGCCACGCCGAAAGGAAAGGGGCAGAAAGTCCGATGTGACTGCGCCAGGTGCTGCGAGTGCACGTGTTTCGACACAGACGTATGGGCGACGATTGTGTCCATATGCCTGCAGGTATACTCATGGGTCCACTCCTTGACTAGCCTTGGGCTTTCGTGCACGAAATAATATTTTTTGGGGGGATGATGGCAAAATAATCTTTATTTTACTGTATACTTCTATCATTTTAATTATCTTCAATTCATACCATTGTCGATGTGACCATTATAATGTTGCATGCTACTCTGTTTAGCAGATTGACCTATGTCTGTTTTAGTTAAATTTTGCTTATAAACTATGGCTATCTGTATTGTTTCTGACCACTATTTAGTGTTTGTGAATTTATTAGTGCCGTATGCACAGTGCATTTTAAAGTCATTGCCATTATTTCAGCAACTAATCAAAGTGATCTTTGTTTCTAATGTGATAAAGCGCCTGGTATATTCCATTTTGTTGATGATGAGAGTTGAACTTTTTACTACAGAAATGCTTTCAATTGCTGATTCAAGAGAAATTCTAGTTACCCGAGTTTTTTCTTCATGTGAACAGAACCAGTCTCTATTAAATGATGAATTTTGATTTCCTTGTATCATATTTTTATAAGGGCATGGTCACATTTCCAAGCCGAGGCCCTACCGGGTTGTTTGCGTGAACGAAAAATAGACAATTTGTATTAAGAGTACACAAAAATAGTGCTCATGGTTAATTTTCTACAACTTTTTTTGTGTTTCGCTGTCTTATATCATAATTTTCGTTCCAAACGACTGCCCGGCCGGGCCCCGGGTTGGGAAATGTGACCGCGCCTTAATATATCATGTTGTCATCGGTGGAAGGCCCCAAGATGCCTGCAATGTTTGATTTACTGGATATAACATGTACGCTTCTCTTCCGAATCCGTCATAAGGACTCATCTTACATTTCATACCTCCTCCATTTACTAACCATTCATCTAACAGGTGCTACGATTCCACCAGCTCTCAACATGTAGCCGCAATGGGCCGCCCTAGAACAAACAAACAAAAACAAACAAACAAACAAACAAACAAACAAACAAACAGACTAATAGACAAATAAATGTTTTTTATTTTTGTCTGATCAATATGCTGCTTTATACGTTTTATGTATCCTTTGAAATCCTAAATAAGAATAGTCGATTAGGGTGGGGGCATTCTTATATATTTAAAACGTTTCGTGATTGCGAGTGTGAATACTATTTATTTCTATTCTTTATGAAAACAGACTATCCCTCAATCCTCAATAGCCATTTGTTTGGCGACAGTCTGATAATTACATTTTGACCAGTTTGTTTTGTGTATACAAAAGTCCTTTTGAATAGCAAAGTTCTTTTATCACAACCATTTATTTTTCAAGCCGACGTTTCGATGACCGTCTGTCATCTTCATCAGGGCAATTCTGACTGGTTTACTATGCACTGACACTAGATGTTACTTGGTGCATAGTGCACTAAAGGTGTTACATAGTTCATAGTGCACTTAAGCTAGTTTTTTCTGTTTACAATACATTCCGGAACGTAGTGTAATTGTGACATACATACTAGGCATTGTTACTAAAACTACCTTAAGTGCACTATGAACTATGTAACACCTTTAGCGCACTATGCACCAAGTAACATCTAGTGTCAGTGCACAGTAAACCAGTCAGAATTGCCCTGATGAAGATGACAGACGGTCATCGAAACGTCGGCTCTTGAAAAATAAATGGTTGTGATAAAAGGAACTTTGCTATTCAGTCGTTTACCATCCTGATGAAATTATTTACGGAAGAAAAGTCCTTTTGATTTACACCACGCTGTATTATTAGCTTCTCAATGTCAAAAGTTAGCTGTATCAAGTAATCCGTGATTACTCAAAATGTACCGTGTTTGGCAGGACGGTCCGTTTTTGGCTACTCGTCTTGTGCTAGTGGCGTATTACCGTGTCATCAACCACATGAGCATCTTCTTCACATGTAAGAACATGACGGTGATGCTGCTGCAGCTGTACCGACTCATTGTCATCTACAGGTAACAAGCTTGGTCCTAGAGGTGTTATGTATAGAAACTTTATTTGCAAAATCATGCCCGAAAGCTAATTGCTTGTACAATCAAGTATAATACTCATTGCAATACAGTAACAGGAGACAGGTAACAATCTGACTGGAAAAACTTCTACTTCTACTACTACGCTAACTATTACGGGGTTCGACTTCTTCTTTGAAGGCAGTGGATAATGAATAGTCCCACATTCTGCATAATTAGTGGGTTTTGTGATCTTAGTAGAAACGTAGTCTTTTGGTGATCTTCTAAATGACGAAATGATGGAGAGATTGTTGTAACTGTCTGAAATAATCTGTTTCTTTCGGTCTCATAGTGAGGACAGTGGCTATCAAAATGTATTTCATTTTCCACTGCATTCATTGGACAATATTTACATAATCTCTCGTGGACAGGTAGTTTTCTATAGCGGCCTTTCATATGTTTTACATTAAAACCCCTGTCACACATTCAGAACCACGGTTGACTGAAGTTTGAGAGCAATCTGACAAGATTTAGAGCTACGAATTGAAACGAATTTGAGTAAAAATTGAGTCAAATTAGACCTCCGAACCCTCCAGACCACCAACCGACCTTGCTCCTGAACCATGGTTGAGGGGGGGGGGGGATAGGTCGGCAGAGTTCCGCTAAGTGTGACAGGGGCAAGTTGTGAAACTCATAGTAGCATTGAAGACGATGAAACAATGAGAGTAATTGCCACTGAAATACCAATTTCAGATGACATATTTCATTGTTAGTTATGCCAAATTAATTGAGATACGCTTATAATAAATATATGAGTTTGCTTCAGACGAGTTTTTATAAATAATGGGCAAGTTGAGCCACATCTAGATCCTGTAATTGAATGATGAGCATTGGCAGTATTTGTATAAAGTTTATAAAATACGTTTTCTGTATGCTATACCTTCATACTTGTATCTTGTCCCTGTTGATGACTAATTCCCGTGCATAATAATCTAATGGCTATAGAACAATAAGCTCACGAGTACCCAATATACGTAGACGTCATTCATTTTTTTCCTTATATTCCTCACTTACAGTGAAAGGGCAAATGATGATCAAGACGAGGACAACAACAAATCCAACGTCGTTGCACTGGAGGAAGGTTACTACAGGAAGAAAGACAGTCCGAGCCCTCTGCACATAAAGCACTCCAAGTCGCCCAAGAATCACCGGAAAGAGATCAGCCCAAACCTCGCCAACCTGTCGCCCAACACCGTGTCAGCCATGATGGAATCCGCTCTCATGGAGGATCGAAACGTCTTCAACGACAAGAAGATAGCCAAAGCCATGGCCAAGCAACGGGCCAAACAGGAGAAAGCACTGATCAAGCAGAGGGCGAAAGAAGAGGCAGCGTTGACGAAGAAGAAAGCAAAAGAGTCCAAGAGAAGGAGCAAATCGACCAAAAAGACCTGACCCTGACTTGTGAACGTGAACTGTGGACTTGAAGACGTGATGAAACCAGTTAGCGGGTTCACGAGCAGTGCGTATATGTAGGATGATGTACATGAGAGTACAGAATCTACCAGAAATTACCTGCTTTGGTATTATATCTTTAATGACGATAAAACAATAACAACAAAGAACGATGCTCTACCAAAAGCGAGAGGCTTTAATACTTGCATCTACACAAATTTTGCACCACAAGAAACAAATCTTTAAATGGTCCTGTAGTAAATAGAAACTAAAGCTTCAAAGGTTGAAAATTGTTGTCGTAAAAGATACTTCAAAGAACAGATTTTGAAGAACAGATTTAAAGAAAGATTGTCTGTTTGAACTGCCGTTGGGCTGGTGAAAATGCGAGGGCTTTAGTAACGATGTACGTTTGATTGTCAATGGATAGCCCTTAGTTTACGTGTAGCTGAATGTTAGGTCATATTTTTGTGTCTACCTCAAGTGACTGACCGTACTATGCAGTGTAAACGTTGTCCCGTGAGCGTTAATAAGATGTGAAATAATAATTATTTGTTTGACATCCTATATACATGTAGATTTACATACGTTTGAAATATCATATCAAGATCCATGGCAAATAAATACTTTCAGCTATCATCAGTTTTATTACATAAGTTGCACGCAGTGACATCTCTCTCTCTCTCCCTCCCCCTCTCTCTCTGTGTTTCTCTCTATCTTACACTGTATTCCTCTTGAACGTATGATTGTACATTGTGTAAATACTTTAACCACGATTCCTGACCATGCCGAAGAATATACATGCTTTGTATCAAATACTGATGCAAACTGTCATCAAATACGATACATACTCTTTTACATTTGGTAAATGATCACAACCATTGCCTTGGTAATGATGCTGTACAAACACACTACTAGTAATACATGTATGCGTTGAACATGAGCAGTCCTTTTATTGACATCAAACCACATATTACAGATCTAGCGATTTATGAATGGGTAACACCTCCTTAAGCCACCATCATGTTGAAACATTTTCTTGTACATATATATCATAATTAATCGTAATGATGCTCAACTGTACTGATACTGGTAAAGATGGTCAAGTGTATTGTAAACTGTGTTGTGTCGTCACTCCATTGGTTTTCGATTGGATCATTAAGTTGTTTTGGGTCTGTTGCAACTGGAAAGGTGTTATATATATGCATTATGTATGTAATAAGGAAATCATACATAACAAAATATATCCATCGACCAGATAGCCTGTGTAAAACGACAATATGTGTAACGGCAATAATGAAGAATAAGATTTCCTCCAATTGCTTACGACGAGTGTCAGTAACATTGATGTCTGCATTAGGCCATGTTGATTTGATTATATGGATGACATCCTCCGGGAGCCCCAAAATTGATGCGCGCGTGCGAATAAAAAAAAGTTTTGCAAAAAAAAAGTTGTTATCATTATGAAATCTACGTGGTCATGAGGGTTGAACAAATGGGACAGAATATGGTTTGGCGAATAATCTAGTCTTCAAGTTCATTTCGTTACAATTTCGTCTTTTTTCGTATGATTTTGGCATTCTACGACATTGGTATGGTTTATTTTTTCTCATTTTGCAACTGTTTTGTACGATTTACAGTATGGTTGAAAACTTTTTTTTTTGAAACGGCCGAAAATTCATGCGCGCGTGGATGTTATCCATATAATCAAATCAACATGGCCTTACCTGAAATTGGTCCAGTATCATGACACAGCCTACCGACACATTAGAGGTTGAAGAGACATTGACAACAATGTTAAATAAAGTAATCATATGCAATGAAAAGCTATACTGTATCTCCTACCTTAGTTGATATATGTGGTATGACTCCTCGCATAACCCTTAGCATAATTACACCAAAGTTGTTAGAATTTAATTCTATTAGTACACCATTCTCTGAAAATTTGACAATTTACCTGAAATTTCAGAAAAAAATCTTTAGAAACAAAAATATATTACAGAATATATAGTGCTGGGGTCCGCGCGGACCCCAGGTGTACTGTTTAGGGTTACAACATGGCGTATCATAGATTTAGTTCATCTTTTTGTTTAAAAAAAGTTGGTTCTTCAGACTTATTAATCTGAAAGCTTGACAAATCAACGTAAGTACGATCTTGCAATAAATTGAACCAGCTGTTAGGTCGCTGATTTTCTTAACCAAATATCATTGATATCATTAATAATAATTGTCACCATCGATTTTCGTAGCCTACAACCAAAGCAGTAACCTGTTTTTGCTGTAAATCGCAGAAAATCTGGAAATGAATGAAATATAGCTTCACGCTATAGCTAAAATATTTAGTTAATTTTTTTTTCTTTTTAAAATGTACGCAACCAGACTACTAATAACTGTATCAGTTGTTACTATCAAAAGATACAGTTTTTATTATTGCCATTATCATTATTTATTGTGTCCCTATTTTGCTGTTTGTATTTGACTGTTGTGTTTTGTTTGTAAAACAGGCCCCATTGAAAAGAAGTGTAATCACTTAATGGGCCACCCTGTATAAAGATGACATAAAATAAATAAATAAATAAATAAACCGATAAAATGCTGTTTAAAGGTATTAGAGATATACCAAAAGCCAACCTCAACCTATAGCTACACAATTTAATGTTTTGTTGTTATGTCTTGACGTAATTACGTGAGTTGGGTTTGTATAGTATACCCTATCATACAATGAAGTCTAATCTGCAGTACTATATCAGGCCGCTACAGACGAATGTACATAAACAGCAATATTGCAGTTTGCTCCTTTGATTTGATTTGATTTATTGAATTGCAACAGTGAAATACACGCGGAACAGAGGCAGCTGTTTTTGCTGGTGTTGTGTCCCGCATATGGAAACGGATACTGGACAGACAATACTCATTTTCACTTGAGTCTAGTGGGGAAAGTGGTGTAAAGTGCCTTTCCCAAGGGCACAAGATCGGTGGCATGTCAGGACTCGAACCCGGGACCTCTCGTTTCCGAGTCGCGGACGCTGCCGTTACGCCACACGACCTCCTTTGATGTCCCTCAAAGCAGGATGCCACACTTTTCCAAGGACTCAACTACGTAATGCACATGCCTCAAACATGTGTTCCAGTTAATTACTAGTCTGCGGCCACGCTGGTGACTTGGGTCACTAACCGCAAAGTGGGACATGCTCTTTACACAATGTAGAAACACGTGGAATTTCAAAATTTAGATTTTTGCAGACTGGAACATTTCCACTACAGTTTATCAAGGACGCAGATATGTAACGAACAAGTCTTATTTATGGAGGTTACATATCAAATTGGTCTGCTCTGTTGTTATTATAGTAACATGGGGTCTGCTTCACACTTGTTCGATGTGTATTTTCTCAATTTGTTTATTATTTTACTACCTGGTTAATTTTTCCCAAGGCTTTGAATAACTCCAAGATTTCAATAACTCTCTGTTCTGTTTGCACTACGTGAACTTGATAAAACTATTGACATCTTACATGGAAATCATACTTATGGTAATAAAAAGAATCTAACAAAAAAAAAAGAAAACAAATCCTTTTAAAGATATCTCTACAGCATTATGAAGGACTCGGTGATTCAGCTAGCTTCGGATAATTTTCATCATAATCATGTTGTAGACGAATACGTAGACCGTCATCGTGCAATGTAGGTCACCGCATATGGCTGAAGCTGTGGCCCTGGGTCTTCATCGTTGGTCACCGCATACGGTTGAAGCTGTGGCCCTGGGTCTTCATCGTGAGTCACTGTATATGGCAGAAGCTGTGGCTCTGGGTCTTCATCGTGGGTCATCGAGTAAGGCCGAAGCTGTGGCCCTGGGTCTTCATCGTGGGTCACTGAGTAAGGCCGAAGCTGTGGCCCTGGGTCTTCATCGTGGGTCACTGAGTGAGGCTGAAGCTGTGGCCCTGGGTCTTCATCGTGGGTCACCGAGTAAGGCCGAAGCTGTGGCCCTGGGTCTTCATCGTGGGTCACTGAGTGAGGCTGAAGCTGTGGCCCTGGGTCTTCGTCGTTGGCCAGTGCATACAGTTGAAGCTGTGGCCCTGGGCCTTCGTAGGTCACTGCATACGGCTGAAGCTGAGGCCCTGGGTCTTCATCATAAGTCACCGCATACGGCTGAAGCTGTGGCCCTGGGTCTTCATCGTGGGTCACTGAGTGAGGCTGAAGCTGTGGCCTTGGGTCTTCGTCGTTGGTCAGTGCAAACGGCTGAAGCTGTGGCCCTGGGTCTTCATCGTATCTCTCTCCAGATGGCTGGGCATCTAACGCGGGGTCTTGGGTCACTGAATGTTGCTGAAGCTGTGGCCCTGGGTCTTCATCGTGGGTCAATGAATAAAGCTGAAGTTGTGTCCCTGGGTCTTCGTAGGTCACTGCGTACGGCTGAAGCTGTGGCCCTGGGTCTTCATCGTTGGTCACTACAAGAGGCTGAACCCGTGGCCCTGGGTCTTCATCGTGGGTCAATGAATAAAGCTGAAGCTGTGTCCCTGGGTCTTCGTAGGTCACCGCATACGGCTCATTTGTGACAGAATTGGAAATGTCAGCATTTGCCAATGTACATGGCTGAATAACATTGTCCTCTGGCATCAGGTCATCCGTAGCGATGGTTTGGCTACCTGTGGCTCTTGCTATGGGTATGTTGTTAAAACGGGCCCAAACCTGTTTGAAGAGAACCGCTGCTCCAGAAACAAAGAGAACGGGTAGGACAACAGCTATTGTAATTGCGAAATGATGGGTCTTGTCATCGTTATCGTTGATGGTTAAGTCTCCGCCCAGGAAAATGACCTTCTCAGTAGTATGTCCAGATAATGACCCTCTGGTTGGCATCACGTAGTCCTCGTATGGCGTTGTCTCTTCATCAATGTCAATAACCTGTGGACCTGCAGCTGAACTCTTATTGGCTGTAGCTGTGGTAGTGGGCGTGTCTTCGCAGGTGATTGACGTGCCTTTAGCTCCCCCGGCCTGACTTGCATCTTCCCTCACCTTGGTGAGAAGAGTTCCGCGGAGCTCAGGAGGTGATGCGCACTTCGGCAGATGGAAAAGATCTATCTGCTCCAAGGAAGGCAGATTGCAGATGAACCATGTCAGGTTCCTATCGCATTTCAGCCTGTTATTGTGTATCAATAACGTCTGTTTATCTAGAAGCATGACCTTTTGACTGATGCTACTGATGAGATTGAATGATAGGTTTATAACGGTCAATGATTTAGGCTGCAGAAGGGCATCCACGGGCAAAGAACGCAGGTGATTGGACAACATTCGCAATACAGAAAGGGCTGGTAGGCCACGAAATGCATCTTTGGAGATGTCTGAAATACAGTTTTCGTCGAGGTACAAATATTGCATTTTCTCGAGCCCAATAAAACTGTCTGCTCCTGAGGATGAAAAAAAATTAGACCATTAAAATACTGAGAATACAGTTTTTTAATAGGAAAACCATTTTTATGGGTTCACCACACCACGAAGTGGTGGTCCCATATTGCTTTTTCTGATGTTTCTTCTCCTCCTTCTTCTTCTTCTTCTTCTCCTGCCATTTTTTAAATGGATTCAGCTTCTTCATTTTAGGGCCTAAGGTCCTGAAATTTGGTATGGAGGTACAGTGGGCAAATACCCCTAGGCGTTTTTTAAATTTTTGTGATACAGGCTTTTAGAATGGTTTTATTTGAGTTTTTTGGCTGTGTTATAGCAAATGTATTACTGTGTTAGTACACTGCCTTGTTTACCACGTTTGGGCATGAGTCATCACAATGGAATGCAGGGCATCAACCAATAGGCATGCAGCTTTCCTCTATACTTCTTGCTGATTGGCTGTTGGGATTTAACTTGATTAACACCTGCACAGAGCATTTCCACCTGTACAGAGCATTTCTTGCTGATTGGCTGTTGGGATTTAACTTGATTAACACCTGCACAGAGCATTTCCATACTGACAGTATGTCTTTATTCAAGTGTTTTGGTAGGTATTTCAAGCTTTTCTGCTCCAGCATTGGAATGCGGGGCATGAACTTTTTTTATTTATTTTGAAAATCAACAGTTTGCATTATGCAATTAAAAATCCCAACCAATAAAGTAGGGAATAGCTATCCAACTGTTGTTTTAGTTGTATGTTACATCATATTATAGTTATATCAATGTAAATCATTGTTTTCCCTTGTGTTTCTCATTCTTTCCCTGCCATGTCGTAAAATGTGGTGAACCCATCGCTGTATTTGCTCCAAAGCAAATATTGGCCTTTCTAGTTATATATGGTCTAGTCTGGACCTTTGTGTAAGTTCTCATGCAATATTAAACTAAAATTACATAATCAAAAATTAAATTCCAGTGTTTTCATTACAGAACTTCTTACAATTTTCATGTAATTTATAGTAGGTGGAATATTTTAAAGTTAATACAGATACATAGCTTTCAAATAAATAAAGGTCTAATTTGCATACACAATACAGAAATATGCAGCTTTCTTAATGGTAAATGATGTGAGATGATAAGTTAGTTAAAGGTGATTATCACCATGCATAGATAGTAGATGTGAAAATTATTAGTAAAATGAAATGATAAAAATTCTTTCAAAGGATAGGCCTTTTGGTCTGGTCTGGACATGAATTAAAAGCATCCAATGTGATTTCAGGCAGCAAAACTGGAAATATTCTGAATAAGGCAATCTTTGTGATATTGACACATACTGCTTCACATTTAGCACATTTTTAAAAATCAGCATTTCATACTTTTGGCATTTAAATCTGCAGAAACAAGCCCCAAGATAAGTCCTTTATTTTCTGGGTGGTGCCCTAAAAATCAACCCAGGGCCTTTCCATTCAGTAACCATTTTCCCTCAGAATTTGGGTCATTTTTGTTCCATGAGGGTCCATATACATTGGGATAGTGTGGTTTCAACTCAGTAGGTAGGTAAACGGCTAAGAATATTGGCTTTGAAAAATCGGGTTTCCAAACCATAAAAACTGCACTGGATGCCTTTAACCTACATGTCATGCCACAATCCATTTCTACGTACCTAGACTGCAGATGCGATTGTGATTGAGGTAGAGCCTTTCTACCGAGGACAGACCGAGAAACGCCCCAGGCTGGATCATAGAAACGTTGGATCTCTGAATCCCCAGGAGTATGACACTCGGAACATCACGGAAGGACCGCTCCAGGATTGTTGAAGATCGCAGATGCTCGACGAAGATCGAGCAGGTGTTTCTGTGAAAGCCGGTCGGCAGGGTGTCGAGACAGGCGGGAAAGGTTTCAGTTCCCCGGTGCCCAACCCAACTGCAGGGCGAGCCCGTTCTATTTCCTCCCGGGCAGTCACAGTGTATATCTTGTTTGTTGATCCAATCAACTACTGACAGTACATGCTTGACAGTGTTGTCACAGTTTTCTGGGCAACGTAGCGCCTTCACAGGCAAAATAAAAACTCGACAATAGAAAAACAGAAAGAACAAAACAAGCGTCATGTTTTTCAGCATCTTACCGACTGACATACGAGGCTGAGAATAAGGCTGTCTGATGCATAATTTCCACACAGGCGTAAATAGGAGGTTATATATAGATCTGAAGGCCACAAAGACATCAAATGTTTTATGCAGAAGGAAGTTGTATATTGGGTCACACGTGTATCCAAAGTTGGATTACGTCTCCTCAAAATTGCTATCTGTGTATAACTTTGTGTATGTGTGTGTGTGCGTGTGTGTGTGTGTGTGTGTGTGTGTGTGCGTGCGTGCGTGCGTGCGTGCGTGCGTGTGTGTGTGTGTGTGTGTGCGCGTGTGTGTGTATGTACACACACACTTTATGTTTGATTTACCTTATGTACTTGTATTTATTTTATGAGATCTTGGTTCATTATGTACAGATTTGATTATTTGCATTTACGATCTGTTTTGAGTTCACTTATTTGTTTACCATTATTGTATATAGCCTACCTTTATTTATGTTCATATTTTGTTTGGATTCTGTTATCTGTACCTTTGATTCTCTTTTGTTTATGTATAATTTATTGAATCGGTGTCGTATAAGCCCACACGGGCTTGGCGCGGGATAGCGCACGACACGGAAATAAAGTATCATTCATTCATTCATTCACTCACACACACACACACGCACGCACGCACGCACGCACACACACACACACACACACACACACACACACACACACACACACACACACACGCACACACACACATACACACGTCTCTCTGTTATTACAGACTCAACCTAAATGAGGTTCTTTCTGGACGTTTTCAGATAATTAGTCTATCGCATTGCCGGATAGATCGATAGGATATTCACTTCACAAAAGCTATGAATAACATTTCCCTCCGACTATGTTTCATGTACATATTCATGTATTTTCCAACAGCATCAACCACCACAAAGACTGGTTAGAACTAGAGAAGTAACATTTGCAAAGCAAATGCGTAATGTTTACCTTTGGGCATGGTCTGCCCTGTTAATTTTTAATTTAACACAATTACATACATGTACTACTAGTATATGGTGACAGGAGTAGAGCAGACCATGAAATTGCAACATCATGTAACCCAACACTAGTCACCATGGTGACAGACATCAACAAATCATGTCATTGGCCCGGTCAGAGGTAAGTGTTTGGAACAGAAGAGGAAGAAACTGAGTAAAAACAATATGTTTTCCTTCGGTAAACATAATTATAATGTGCACCTTACACATCTGCAACAATGATAAAATGAGGTTTTATTTACGAAATACAAGTTACATCGATTGGTTAACCATTCTTCAACAACTGTCTGCACAGTCTACATTTAAGTTATTTTGTTTGTTTGTTTTGTTCCGATCCCCATTAGTTTTATTTATTTAGGTTAGTGTTTTGACACTTTTCCTCCTTGGGTTTTATTTACAATGCACAAGATCGTTGGTTGTGAATAGGACATTATTTCAAATGAGAGGCGTATTCTCTGCACTACCCAGGGCTCGAAATTCAATTTTGGGAAAAAGTGCACTGGTGCACTCAACCTAAAAAAATTAGGTGCACAGAATTTTTTTGGGTGCACCATATAAAACAAAACCTAATTACAGATCTTACTGCTCCTCTTCTGAGATTGAATCTGAAATGGGAGCAAATCTTTAACAAGTACTACAACAAAGATTTTCTGACACTAGATGCAAAGAATATCCAGTATTACTGTATACATTTAATATGTACAAAAATACCTACAAAAATATTTGGGTGCACCAGTGAACCCACAGAAAAAAATTGGGTGCACAGCTCCAATTTTGCACTAAGGTGCACATGCACAAAGTATTTCGAGCCCTGGCACTACCACACTTCGCAGTGCCAAGATCCCACCACACACTACACATTTAGTCTGTTTAGTCCAATTCACAAAGAAACGTGAAGGAGCTATGAATAAGATCCGTATGACGGTGTAGATATACACATTGATGTATTTTCCTACAGTATCAAGGTTCCACACACACACACACACACACACACACTGAAAAATGAAGTTATTTGTGAAGGTTTTTAGGTAATCAGTCTATCGTGTTGCCAAGACGACGTGACGTCTGCTTCACAAAACGCAACAGCTATTGATATTAATATACATAAGATACGCCTGACAGTGTAGATATACAACATTAATGTATTTTCCTACAGTATCAAGGTTCCACACACACTGCTAAATGAAGTTATTTGTGAAGGCTTTTAGGTAATCAGTCTATCGTGTTGCCATGACGACATGACGTCTGCTTCACAAAAGGCAACAGCTATTGATATTAATAAGGTCCGTCTGACAGTGTAGATATATAATATTGATGTATGTTCCTACAGTATCAAGGTTCCACACACTAGTACTAAAAAAGAAGTTATTTGTGAAGGCTTTTAGGTAATCAGTCTATCGTGTCGCCAAGACAACATGACGTCTGCTTCACAAAAAGCAACAGCTATTGATATTAATAAGATCCGTCTGACAGTGTAGATATACATATTGATGTACATATGTATTTTCCTACAGTATCAAGGTTCCACACACACTGCAAAATGAAGCTATTTATAATGTGAAGGTTTTTAAGTAATCAGTCTATCGTGTTTCCAAGACGACGTGACGTCTGCTTCACAAAAAGCAACAGCTATTATATATTAATAAGATCTGACGTCTGACAGTGTAGATATACATATTGATGTACATAATTATGTATTTTCCTACAGTACCAAGGTTCCACACACACTGCAAAATGAAGTTATTTGTAATGTGAAGGTTTTTTTAGGTAATCAGTTTATCGTGTTGCCAGGACGACATGACGTCCACTTCACAAAAGCAATGACTGTGTAGACATACATATTGATTTTACTTCTAAAATCAAAGAACCCACATATTATAGAAGAAGTGGGTAAATCCGTCTTCCGCTGCCTAAAAAGAAGAAATCAAACCCAGTAAAACTAGTACCATGTATGTTGTAGAATATAATATAATGCTAGACGTATATATAGTCTCACATACCACTGTATTTTCTTTCTTACGTTGTTTGTAACTGCAATTAGCCCTCGGGCAAGTATTTGCAATAAACTTTCTATTGATGTATTTTCCACAACATCGATCACTCAGCACAAATGCTAGTAACGATTACAAGTGCAGCCTTTATTTTGTGCATCTGTAAGATGAAGTTTGACTTGCTAAGTACAGGTTGCATCAGTTGATCCACTACTCTTCAACATCTTCATGCCCGTAGCCAGAGGGGGTTCGGGGGGTTCAAAGGTCCACTTTTTGGTCCACTTTTTATGTAAAGGTCCACTTTTTATGTAAAGGTCCAAGATTTTTCTTGAAAAGATGGACTGGAATCGTAGAAAAACTGCTCCCTTTGTCATTGAATAAAAATTTATGTCTGATTTTTTTTTCTTGGAAATCCTCTCAAAAATGAACGAAATGCCATTTTAGAAGGTTCATTTTTCAAAATTTTCCGGGGGAGCATGCCCCTGGACCCCCCTAGGAACCAAGCGCCCTCGTGCCTACGGCGCTCGAGGTCCCCTCAAGCAGTGGGAAGAACCCCCCCATTCAAAATCCTGGCTACGGGCATGATCTTTATGTATTCTACGCTATTCAACAGCAGCATTTATTCTACGCTTTTTAGTTGTTTTTTCTTACACAGAGAATACCACATGCACACGATCATTACTTATGCATAGAGGCGTATTCTCAGTAATATCAAAGTTCTATACACACAAGGAAATAAAGTTGTGGTTTTGTGGTTTGTAGGTAATTAGTCTATCGTGTTGCTAAGACACCATGACGTACGGTTCAGGAAATGTTTACTTTCCCCCTGGCCATATACATATTGATGTATTTCCTTTTTTTTTATATTCCAACATTTAATCTCAAGACGTGGTGGCGGCACACTCAATTTTTTCAACTTATATTAATGCCACCACCAACAAATACTCATTTTCACCCGAGCGAAGTGAGGAAAGTCGTGTAAAGTGCCTTTCCCAAGGGCACAAGATCGGTGGCATGTCAGGACTCGAACACGGGACCTCTTGCCGCTATGCCGCACGACCTCACTTGGTTCACACGATTCTTATTGTGAATAGAACACTTTAAAAGAGGCGTATTCTCGACCCTCGCATACTACACAGTGAAATAAATTTGTGGATGTTTCACGATAATTAGTCTGTCGTGTTGCCAAGAGAACATGGTGTCGTGAATATCAATGCCCCAAACATACTGCATGATGAAATGAATTAATTTCTGAAGGCTTTAATTAGCCTATAGTATTGCCACGACAACATGGTGTGTTCTTTAAGAAAGTGGCAGCTATGAATAAATATAGTTTACCTTTTTCCTTCTGGCATTCTGCATATACACTCAGAATCTCATGATTTTTTTTCATTCCATTCGAACTATCACATGCTGCCTGCCCATCCGAATCACTATTCTCTTATGTTAAATTGGATCACCCTCTGTTGGTAAGGACTAACCCTATGACTGGTTGACTTGCCCTGGCCCGGGGTGTCCATCGCAGGGCATTACACGTGGCTGAAGCTCTTGCTCTGGGGTTCCTTCGTATCCTGCAGACGGCTGGGCGATTAGTTCTACATCTTGATTGTAGATGATTGACACATCGTTATGGTGGGTAACTGCATTCGGCTGAAGTTGTGGCCCTAGTCCTGGGTCTTCATTGTTGGTCACTGCATGTGGCTGAAGCTGTGGCTCTGGGTCTTCATCGTTGGTGATGACATTCGGCTGAGGCCCTGGGTCTTCATCGTATCTCTCTCCAGATGGCTGGGCATCTAACGCGAGATCTTGATTGTAGATGACTGACACATCAGTAAAGGTGACCGCATATGGTTGAATTATATTGCCTGCAGATGCTACATCACCAACGGAGGTTGTGGGTAGGTTTCTGTTTGGTGCTTGCGGTTCTAAAGAGTCATTCTGAGAGTAGATGACTGCATACGGTTCAGGCACTTGGTCACTTTCATCATTGGGTATATCGTTACATGTGTGTCCTTTGCAGTGGTGGCAAAGAGAAATGACCACAGCTGGTACCAGCACACCAAAGAAGGGCAGGATAACAGCCTTTAATATGCGTAGAAGGTGGATTCTGTTGCCATTTATGTTGACGACTGGGTTTCTTGCAAGAAGAATGATATGTTCCACCTCTGCTGTATGCTCAGTGGGTGTCATGTTGTTTGTGTATGGAGTCTCATTGTAGTACTCATTGGTAATGCTAGAGTCGTATATTGTGTTGGTGGTGCATCGTGTTTCAGTTTGGGCAGCGAGGGGAGTGGTCTCTTCGTCCAGATGCTTGCTGACAGGTTTAGGACCTGGAATGATCATTTCCATTTCGGAAGCCGTCATAGTCGACGGCTCGTTGCATGTGGTAGTAATCTCAGTCTCCTTTGGTGCCCCGGCGGCCCCGTCGTTCTGGCAGACATCTTTCCTCCTGGCAGTCAGGAAGGTTTCACTAAGTTCAGGGGGAGAGGCACACTGCAGCGACTTTCGAAACGAGATGTTCTCCAGCTCTGACAGGTTGCAGATGAACCAAGTCAGATTCTTGTCGCATTTGAACGGATTAAACAGCATCATGAGCCTTATATGATCCTTCAGACACCTGACGTGCTTGTCTACGGTCGTGATGCGATTTGACTGTATGTTTACAATCATGCGTGCTTCACGTGTTGGGAGTTGGAGAAGGGCTTCAACAGGCACTGACCTGAGCTGGTTATCTGCTAGCCGTAACGTGGTGAGTGTGGGTAGGCCGCGGAATGCATATGGGGATATGACTGATATCCTATTGCATTGAAGGTACAAGTATTCCATGTTCACAAGCCCAACAAAGACATCGGGTCCTACGGATAAGAAAAAAAACAATGGGCATGTTTATACATCCTGTTAATGCGAGTGTAGTAGCTAAGTGTCTTGTTGCATACAATAATTGCTTTCGTATTCTCCTTAAGTTGCCAAGAGGTTGTAGTGCTAGTTCAATGTTTGTACACCTCTCGACCGATACTTTCAATGCTAGACGCAGGAAATTGTGTTATTCCTTCATTAATAGACTTTACGCCACCAACAAAAGTATAATAGACTGTCTATTGAGGTCTGACTGTCAGTTCAGAAATACGTATTTTAAAAATGTATAAATTGTTGTATGTTTAGTGTTTCTGTGGTTTTATGTTTGTACTATGGGGATAAGGCCACACCAAGTAAATTTTATGGATGACGTCCGCGCGCGCATTGATTTTGGCCTCTTCCTAGAAAAAAAAAAAACAAGAAATTTTGCTTCCTGTAACTATGACCAAAGTCACGGCAGTGTCGCAAATCGTCAGATTGACGTGAAACCCGTAACGCGAGGTGTCGGAACAGAACAGAAAATTTTTCACTGTCCACTGTTCCACCTGATTTATTGCTGTTTTGATGATGAATAAAAGACTTCTTGCTTGTTACACTGTGTCACCTCATTCAATTTGTGTCCTAACATTTGTCGTCTCTTTGTACATTTCTAATCTAGGCATCTTGTTTTTTAGGGCCCTTCTTGTTTTTTTTTCGCCCTCTCGCATTAGATTTAGGGTCTCCAAAGGACGTCATCCATAAAATTTACTTGGTGTGGCCTAACGTGAAATAAGGTCAATCGAATTCATTAATTCATTATATAAACGTTGACAAAGGGTGTGAATCAGCAACAATGCGCATCATAGCAAGCAAATGTTGTCAGCCATTTTGGGATGATTGTTACTAATGGTGGGGGGACATACATTCCCATGGTAACCGCCAATTTGATAAATGATTATGCCAATTTTTTTCCTTCACCTTTTTGTTTACGGAACTGTTTAACACAGCATTTGTAACGAAACATTGTAGACATCTGTACAGTCACCTAAAACAGTTCCTTACCTTTCTCAATCTAAAAAATCTTTCTATATAGTATGAGAAAATTTTACACTTCAAAGCCTGCTTTATTTTTATTTCAGACTTTATAAAATTTAAAAACACATTCTAACAGTTTCCATTCTTTTTCGCCTTAGGAAAGCGAATTAACGTTTGTTTGTTTGTTTTGTTTGTTTATTTATTTAACCAGGAAATACATGTCGCCTATTGGCGTTTTTCAAAGATTCCTGGGGGGATAACCCCAACAAAACTACATGACATTATAATTATAACAAAAGATTAAAGATGAACTGACAAAGATCAACTAAAAATAGATAAACTTATCGTGAAATCGTAACTAACTCATCAAGAATCAAATGAAATAAGGTAACATAGAAGTAATTATACTCATTCAGATATCAAATCATAATGGTAGATAGTCAAAAGGTATGTCAACTTAAAAGTAAATAACTGAAAGTGGAGTTTGCATATCAATGGAAGGAATTTTTCATTTTGTTGTTGTTATCACATTTTGCACTATTTTGTGACATTAGCCCATCACAAGTTTGTTTTTTGTATCGTCTTTTTTCTTTTCTGTACGCACCACCAGCACCACCGGCCGCGCTTGGGTCTGCACCTCCTAGTCCCTGAGCATGATGTCCCTCGCGGGACCTTGGCTCAGTAATCATATAAGATAAGATAAGAAACGTGAATCATTTTTCTGCTAAAGTTACAGATAAAAATTTTCTATATCAACATACCAAGATTGGAGATGCGGTTGTCATCAAGATAGAGCTTTTCCACCATAGGTAGCCCCAGGAAAGCTCCCGGCTGTATTGTGGAAACGTTGGACTTTTGAATCTTCAGGAGAGCGACGTTCGGAGAGTTCTGGAAAGACCGTTCCAGGATTGTAGAAGAGCGGAGGTGCTTGATGAAGATTGAGTGCGTCTCCTTGTCAAAATCAGTCGGAATGGCGTCCAGACAGACAGGAAAGGTACACTTTCCTGAATATCCAATCCAACCGCATGGTGAAGCTTTCCCCTTTTCATCAGGGCAATGACAGTGAAGCCCTTCTTTGTTAGACCATCCATCCGCATGTTCCTCAGTCATGAAACAGTTCTTTGGGCAGGCTAGCGGTGCGGCGAGCACAAAAAGTAGACGGCTGAAAACCAGTAGTACCAAGACCGGTGCCTTGCTTCGCAACATGTTGCAAACTGATGCGTGCGTCGGTGTCACTGTATACAGGTAGAGTGTTCACCTTCATGCATGCATATGTATTTTTTCGTTGTCACACACTTACCCAGACGCATTTCCTTTTAAAAAGAGCCAATGTCGACTGCTCTACTTACGTCAAACAAGGAGAGATAGAGGTCAAGATAGAGACTGAGAGAGAGAAAAGAGAGAGGGAGAGAGAGAGGTTGGGAGACAAGATCAGACATGTGGAAACACACATGCACACGCTCACGATTATATGACAGTCCATCGACGAATGTATATTTTTTAACATTCAATTGTCTCGACACGTTTGTCCACACGCGAGTCGTGAAAACTACTGAACTACTTGTTGCGAAACCAACCGTACGTCACCCAGTCTGCCAAGGACTGGGACTAAATCTATGGCAAAAGGACACGTGTTACATTATATAGTCACATTGTCGAGTCTTATGTCGACCTTGATATCCCTTCCCAGCCATTTACAGTTAGGCCCCCATTCCACTTAGTGGCGCTCTCACGGCGCTCTCTCTGCGACCTGAAATTGGCCAGAGCGTGGAGAGAGCGGCGAGGTCGCCATGTTTTTTAAAATCTAAATTAATGTCGGGGCCATTGCGCGCTTCGCGCTCTCACGGCGCTCATCATTGTATTGCCGTTCTTGGCGCTCTCACGGCGATGGTATGACCTCGTTCCATACCATCTGCCGAGGTAACGGCGATCATGGCGCTCTCATCGTGCTCTCATGGCGACCTTGGCGCTCTCTCCGCGCTCTAGCCAATTTCAGGTCGCAGAGAGAGCGCCGTAAGAGAGCCGTCTACATGTAAGTGGAATGCGGGTATTACGAAGCATGAAAACATGTAGAAAATAAGTGATGATAGGTTGAGCAGAGATTATTCAATTAGTAGTACACTTGTAATTTCTCTTGGAAAAATCTATTCTCGCCCCGATATCAGCCATTAATTCAAATCTGTCAATAGTTTGAATAACATTTACTTTGGATATATCTTGAAATTCTACTCGATTTACATCTGTACTAACAAAAAAACAAAACAAAAAACAATCCGGAATACTCATGGACACATACATTTGTAACATCGTGCTGAAATAGTTTATTTCTTGATTTCTTGACGTTAACATTTAATCCTTTTAAAAGCTTAAGCTCACACTTTGATTGTCTTCAGGAATGTATCTTTGAATTCTACAAAAAGTGTAATTTATAAAACGCCATCCCTTATATAAAGTTACAAGGAAAAAAATTGTGGCTATAGCATTGCATGATTGTGCAATGTGCATCATTGCAACAGAATGCAACAACAGGCATTTGGTCCAGATGAATACAATAAATTATAAACAGGATGAAAGTGTACATTAACATTGAACATCTCTCATAGTTCTAAGACTTAAAAACAATGGTGTGGGGATGAAATGTTACATACTTATCATTAATAGATAGAGTTCTCTTTTGTTATTTCAGTTCTCAGCATAAAAGTAAGGAGTGAACCATCAACTTAGCTTTCATACTAATAAACAATAACCATTCTACCATCTACATTCCTGCATGCATATCATTATTATTGAATATTTGGTAACAGAAAAAAAACTACAACATCGTTAAGTAGTCCTCTGAAGGGTACTAAGCAGTACAAGAATTGCAAACAAATGTTTTTTAATCATTGTAATACTGGAATATATAATGCTTTTACAAGGTGAAAACTTTAATAATGTTTGAGCCTAAAACCATTAAAGGTCTGGGGATAATGAAATATTATAGTTAAAAAGTTTAATACAAAACACCAATGCAAATTCCCAGTAGTTTTTTCTGTACCTCATTTGAATATAATTTGCATATTCATGACACTCCAATGCACATTAGCAGTAGTTTTTTCTGCTCCTCATTTGAATGTAATTACATATTTATGACACATATACCATGTTTAAAACATTGGAATGATTTCAGTATCATTTCATTTTGACCCTGTATCTTAAACAATACCTGTACAGTAATATTGTTTGTATGCTAAATAGCATGCTTGAGAAAACATTTTAGGAGATATAAAAAAAGAAAAGAAAAGAAAAAGCTCAGTGAGACACCAGTACATGTATGATTGTCAAAATTTGATAGAAATATTGGCAATATAATTGTCTCAATCCTCCTTAGCTTTTATAAAATATGCATTTTTCAACTGAATTAAAAACTTTTAAGTAGCCATTTGTAATGTAAAAAAGGTTCATTGGCATCATTCAATAAAATTGTAGCACTGCTACATGTACATGTTTCTCTTATGGCACCATATATTTGCTGCTAAATTCAGTGTGGAGAGTTCTGTTTTACTTCTGAAAAAAAAAACTTTTTTCATCAAGTCATCAACATGAGTCACCTGTAATGCCACCAAACAGATATCATAGAACTAAAAGCCCATTTCATGAGCTATAAGTATAAGAGGATAGAATCACAGTAATATAATTACATCAGCATGCATTATGTAACCTTAACAGCACTGCCTGCAGTACTGCTACACATTAAAGAACATTTTAAAAAATGTAGTAAAAGCACTGCCACATTAGCACCTTACATGCATTCACAAATAGATTAAAACAATTTTGAAAGTATCTGACATACATGTACCTTTCAGCTATAAAATTTGGAAAAGGGGCCGAAAAATTAGTAATAGAAAAGATGTCACTTTGGCATATTATCACATTAAATGGAATTATCACAATTACAAAAATCTCTTGAAAATGTACATTCAACCACTTCCAACTTACATCCAGAAACATATCTTTATAACTTCATATAACTGAAGACTTACAACAAGACTTAGTGCAACACATGCTAAAACCTTCAATGTGAATAAAGGAAATCTAAAAAGGACATGACTTCTGAAGAAAAAGCAACATTTACAACAAATGTAAAACTGGGAAAGACTGCAATGGCACAATTTCTTATTTTTACATGACTTGTACAATTAATAAACAGCATCAAATCTTTAAAATAATTCATTGCCCTCAAATATAAGTTGGCAAAAGTGAAGATAAGATATGAGAGGAAAGCATGCTATTAAACTAGAACCTTCTCATTAATTGAATATTAATACGTAAATCTGAAAAGATTGTTGTGGACTTCAATATCAAGTGGTCCTAAGTGGTAGATGTGCGTTTGGCATTCCCCAGTGAAAATATTGCAATTGCATGCTGCATAGTAAGGAAATAATACTGCAACAAAGTAAAACCACCCTCAGCTCCTAGTTGTACCCCCCTCCCCCTACTGAATCAAGCTAAGATTAGAAAGGCACTTGTCAATCAAAGGATAATAAGGTACCACTACTGGCTCCACCTCTGAGGTGTTGCCAAAAACTACAACAACTGAATCTAACATTTACGTGGCTGTGACTTCTGGATGGCTACTTGTTGTCTTTGGCAATGTTGTGTAGCCACCAGTTGACTGAAGTCTTCCAGCTCTGTTTTAGAGCATTGTCAAACTCCTCACGAAAGTGCCTCAGAGCCTCTTCTTGGGTCATCTCCAGGGCCAACTTGTCCTAGAGATAAGTATAAGACACAGTCAGTCAAACTGTACTGAAATACTAAAGTTGTAGAATTACAGTGTCTTACTCCAAACCTGTATTGTTTTACCTATCATCCATGGAGGCAGCCATCTTGTTGATTTAACTGTGAACAACCCATTGCCTACAACAAATTAAACCTACATGTACAAAATGTATATGCTGTCATAAACAGTACTATACATAGTCATGTAACATCTGTGTCCATAATATCACCAGGGTTCATAATATTGCCACCTTGAGAAATAGTGTGCTTACAGATATTTTTACTGCAACATACCCTAGGTATCTACATTTGATGTGTGAAGGAGTGCATACCAAAAGTATGTTGCTGCAGTAAAAATATCTTTAAGCACACTGTTTCTCAAGGTGGCGATATTATGGACCATGGTGATGTTATGGACACAGATGTTATGGTTTGGAGGCAGATTTGTACTGAGATTTTGCTTTTAATCTTAAACTTTTCCATACCAAGATACAATCTGGTTGACTTTGAATATCAAATTCTATGTTACCTTGAGGTAATTGATGTCACTTGGGCTGGTCAGCTCTGGCAGTCCACTGGACAGCATCATGGCAAACAGGCTGATCAGCAGGTTCCCATACTTCCTCAAGCTCAGGTACGCCCCCTCACAATGTTGGCGGAAACTGCAGGACAGCAAGAAGGAACCATTATCAATGGTTTATTTTGCATTTAAAACACAACATCACTGTCCCAAAAATGGCAGCCAGAGGCTGAATTGACATTGGGGCATCACATTAATAGTATAAAACGACATATTAAGCCATTAAAATAGAAATAAACCGTTACATAAAATGTATATAAGATACAGTCAACGTTTCAAGTGCAAATTAATATCATAGCAGATAACAAAACCATTACAGACCCTATCCAGTACTACACTAACATTAAATGTTTTCAACTTTGGCATGTTGTGTAATACAATTGTGTACACTGTTCTTTGCATTAAATGAGCATGACAAGTACATTGTACATTGAAAAAGATGTCACTTTTAGCTCAGTGTCATAGCCAGCATCTGTCTTTCAGTCCTTTGATGGAATTTTGCTGCTGATGACAGACAAAAAATTTGCCCAATCTGTCATCTTTGATGGACAAAATTAGCAAGTAAATAACATATGGAAAAAGATGTTATTAAACTAAGCTTAGTCTATCAGCAAGATCTGCCTGTCAAAATGCAGGAAATAGCATTTCAGAGGGTGAAAACTTACACCCAGATCTACTATATGATTGTCACTGGACATGATGTTACATCAAACAAAGTTGAGATGCCGGAAAAAATTCAGGATGGCTAGAACACTGTTTTAGCTTCAAGCAACAGATTTATACACAGTGGCAAATATATTTCCCACAGTCATACTTAGTGATGCATACCGGTTCACTGGACTTGGATCCGGACTTGTAAGAATGTTTAGGTTCAAGTAGTAAAAAAAACCTAAAAGTCAAGAACCGAGTCCGGACTTATTACCATAAAAGACCATTTCACATACCTCTTTTCTTTCCAAACTACCTAAAACCTTCTGTAGATTGCAAAATCTTTGCTGCAAAATGAAGAAAACATTGCCATCGGGCATCATCAAGTACCGGCCTCCATGTTATGTGGCCAAAGTTTCAAACAGACAACATTGCGAGGTTGCCAACATGTAATTTTGTATATGCCATGGGTTTAAGTCCAGACTTACAAGTCCGGAACTGAACCTAAACCTCAGGACTTGAATCCGGACCTGAACCTAAAATTGGGTTTAGGTATGCATCACTAGTCATACTGATTGCTAATCTCTTAACAGTTTACTGTGAATGTTAGAAAAGGATAACCTACGCTGCAAACTCCTGGCTCCCCTGAGTAGACTGACCCTTGGTGATGACATGGACAAAGTCATGGGTCAGGACAAAAGGCACACGCTCTCGCTTGATACCAAACTTAGTCTTGAAGTTCCCAAGGAAGTGGCCAAAGTCTATGTGAAACAGCTGAAATGTAAAACAACAAATAATCATTACAAATGTATAATTATTGTTTTCTGTAAGAATTTGACTTTATTTGGAACCACAAGTAGCTTCACATAGAGATATCAGATAAATATACATATTTGACATCATGATTATTTACGGTATAATAATTATTGATAACCCTAGCCATGTTAGTGCACTCTTGCACACTGTATTCTTACCGCTAGATATTGTATAATATACACATGTTTCATAACAAATTGCAAACCAAAACTCTCAATTTTCAAGCACAGACTAAATCAAATTATAGAAGTAGAACACAATGAACAATGGGAACTTTTTATGTGATATCATTATATATAGACAATCCCCAGATAACGTTACCTTTAAAAAACTGTCCTTGATTGTTATGTATCATCCCACACGATTGTACATGTATGTCAACTATGTACCTCTTTTTAATGTAACTTTGTGAATATTAATAAAGTTTGAAAAAAAAATACATATTTGATGATTAGTGATATAAAATTTATACTGCTTTCAATGGTTGTCCAGCATTCAATTTAGGATCAATGATATTATCATACATTGTAGTACTACATGTATCACATTATCTTTATTTATGCCAGATTGTAGCTGTGATTTTGAAAAATAAAAAAAAAACAGCTGCTGCAATTTACACTGCATGTAAAGTGAAATGTATCCCAAAGACTGTCTTTGTCAATTCTCATAAATTAAAAAGTAACTGGAGCAAATTTGTTAATTATAATAAATGTGGGATTAACCTTCTCCCTGCTTCCTAAATTGTAACCAATAGAGAACTGCTAACCAGTATGCTAAAGGTTAAAGTATTGGGGAAACTTAAGAGTACATCAGATTCTTAATGCTAATACCTAGCTTCATCGCACATTCTTTCTGACATAGTTTGGACTTACCTGGCCAGTTTCCTTGATCATGATGTTATCACTGTGCCTGTCTCCTACTCCCAGCACATAGGTGGCCACACAGTAACCTGCACAGGACAGGGTGAACTCCTGCACTGCCTTGTTCAGGCTAAAATACACCAAAATGTATCAATAACAATATACACATGTATATCAATAACGTTTTCAGAACAGCCCGATTGTATATGACCCACTTTTAAACAAGAAGTAACAGTGTTAGCAAACAGTACGTATGATCATGGAACGCTGAGACCTGTATATATCCGATTTGTATAATATATAATGTAGGTTTTAAAATCACTTCCCTTATTACTTATAATGTGGTCAAGCATGAACTTTTTAGTGTTTTTAAAATCTGCCATTGCTGTAAAACACGCAATTCAGCCTGTGGCTGCCATGTGTTTTTGACGAATAAACCTTTCATTCTGTTCATATACAGATTAACGTAATGTATGATACCAGAAATTATATCATAGTGTACTAAAGGCACATGTACTTAGATGACTGGATGGACCAAACCAAGTATGTTTATGACCCAACCAAGTACATGTATGCTTATGACAAGAATATTTAACAAAAGATAATTTTTTAACACTTGTCCTGCTGGCATTCCTGGCACAATATTTTTCAATAATTTCATGTCTTAATTAGATCATAGACCCCCCAATTATTTTGCCCTGCAGTGGCATATAGTTACTTCCGCATTCATTGCGTTTCGCTGCGTTGCACGAGAAATACCCCCAAATTGTACCTATACAGGGTGTTATATAGATGGTACTGTATGACTTGTGCAAAACAACAATTGTTGTGCTCCGCAGGACAAGGGATGCAAAATATTGATTTGCTGCAGGAAGATTGTAAACAAAAACATGAGATGACACAACAAACTCGACAGCAAACAATCACGATGTCAGAAAAATGATCAACCCATGTCTTAACAAATGGTACCAACATACTCACACACATGCACACATGTGCAATGTACAATTGTTCGTGCCTTACCTCTCCTTTTCTGGGTTTTTCTCCTTCAGCCACATGAAGAGCGACCCTTTCTTGAACCCTGCTGTGGCCGTGCTGCCCTTGTCCTTCTGGATATTGGCGATGGTGTCAGCATTTAGGACAACCTCAACTAGCCCAACCTACAACATAGTACATGTACATTCAGTACAACCTCAACTAGCCCATTACCTACAACATAGTACAACAATGTTGGATGGAGATTTGGTCATCTGGGTGGGCAACCTCCATAATGAAGACTTCAAATGTTTGGAATAAAAATTATACAGAAATGAATTCTAATTCTTGATCAACAACTGGACAGGTACACAATGTACATTGTAACTTCCATTAGAAGACCAAGGATTTTCATGATTTAAAACTTCATCCAATTTGGATTCATCCAACAAAAAAGGTACAGTAACAGTTACTGTATCTTAGGGAAGCTCTTTGGTAGCTCTTTGATTATATTATTTTGCATAATATACCCAATGTGTGAAACACATGGTAAGCACATCAGGACCATATATTTTTCTGACCTTGTTTCCTGTGGAGAGGCAGCCGTAGGGACTCATGCGCAGGTCGATCCCTTCTGCCTGCCACAACATCTCCATAACCTGGATAATCTGCAGGGTCAACATGTCCTGACGAAGGTCTGGAGGAGAAAAAAAACACTTTTAATTACTTCCATAGCTGTTTGTAATGTAAACTGGGTACTAATAGCTATCCTTGAAGTAAAGTCTGATTGCGCACAATGTGCGCAATGTAATCCTGAGTTCCTCCAATGTACAGTACCAGTCAGTCTACTAAGAACTTCCTTTCAGCTTACAAGGAGACCATTTTCACCTTACTTCAAACTCACTTCCTTCCTACAGCCTGCTGGAAGACCATTTTGACCTCCAATTTGACCTTCCTGTAAATCTGTGGTTACACCATTTCCCCCATTTCCTGTTACTATCTTTACGTAATTTAATTCTTAGCTCTGCCTGCAGCTGTACCTGTGGGTCTAAATGCAAAGACATTGTACATTTCCTTTTGCACTGCCCTGTACACAACGTGCATAGAGTGACCCTTCTCAGTAACCTACAGAGCCTAGTAGGCTCTACTTTTGACTTGCGCAACTTGTCTGACCAAGCCAGTATTAATCTTTTACTGAGAGGTTTGCTCCTTTTACGTCTTGAAGTTAACAAAAAAATTATGATTCTTACTCAAACCTTTATACTTAACATCCAACGATTTACAGTTGCCTAATGATTTATATTTGTTGCTTTGTCATTTTCATACTTAGTAATTTGTATTCTATGTCAGGGGTGTGATTAATATTAGCTTCGGCTAGAGTTTCCACCTCTGTGTCCTGTACCATGTCTTGTACTTTGTTGTTTCAATAGATAAATAAAAAAAAAAGAAAAGATAAAAAAAACTATCTTCAAACAACTAACAGAACTTTGGCTGTACTTGGAGGTAACAATGAAAAGAGACCCTCAGTCTATACTTAGAAGCAACAATGACCTTTGTGTAGAAAAGAGAGTGCTAAGTTCTTATATAATTACCGTCTCCATCTTTAAACATGAGTGTGACTTGTTCCCCGAAGCGGTCCTCGTTCTCAAACACCAGCCATAGCGGCCGCATCTTGGAGTCACGGAACTTGCAGTGGTCATTGCTAAACAAAGGCAAAAAAATAATTCTATTAAGCATAAAATTATAGATCTTCCACCACAATGCAAAATAAAATATGCAATGTTGCACAAGGCCAAAATGAATACAAAAGTCAGACTTGTGCATGAAGTACTGGGAGCCATCTGTGTCGTGGCATTGCAGTCGTCCTTCAACAGGGACGGGGGGCGCCACAGACTTTCTGTAACCTAATATGTTTTATCATTATGCAGCAAGTTTAAACTGTAATTTCCAACACAAGAAATTGGACTCACCCAAATTTTTGACTGTACAACTCCAGTCTTTGTTAAGGAATACACATAGAATTGCCTGGTCACTCAGTCTCATTGGACAAAGTAAGAATCCTTGACTCAGAACCGGACTTCTTTGCATGAGGGATTAAAGAGGCCATCTACATCAGGGCATTATACAACCATCCCTCAACAGAGATGGGGGGGGCGCCACAGACTTTCTGCAACCTATGATCCACTGCCCACGGAGTCACGTGTGTTATCTGCGTGGATTGTTCACGGAAGCAGTGGATTGTTCATTCCTTGACAGAGACTGGAGTTGTACAGTCGAAAATTTGTGGTCCAATTTCTTGTGTTGGAAATTACAGTTTAAACTTGCTGCATAATGACTTCTGCCAACACAGATGAACTTTCAAGATATGTTTTATCATGATAAATCCCACCTGAGCTGTAGCAGTTTGAACTGGGGTTCCACAGGGTTGTGTATTCGGGACAGGGCATCGTGGTAGGACGTCTGTTTCAGACAGGCCTTCATGGCCTCCAGACTCAGCTGCTTGTGCTTCTCATTCTTTATCGCCTGTTTCTTCACCAGCTCGTTGACTGTCTTCAGCTTACTCAGGGCTTCCATCTGCAGGGGAGGGCAACATAGAAATTTAAGTCACAACTAGAGAATTAACATTTGCAAAGCAAATGCATAATGTTTACCTTCGGACATGGTCTGCTCTGTTAATTTTTACTCAAACACATTTACATACATACTACTTAGTATATTGTGACAGGAGCAGAGCAGACCATAAAATTGCAACATTATGTGACCCAAAACCAGTCACCATGGTGACAGACGTCAACAAATCATGTCATTGGTCAGGTCAGAGGTCACTGTTTGGAGAAGAAGAGGAAGAAACAGAGCAAAAACAATATGTTTTCCTTCGGTAAACATAATAAGTTAGCCTGAAATCCAGCCTTGTTTATAGCTATAGGGCCTGGCCTACTTCCAAAACCTGTTGGCAAATTTAATATGGATTTCAGGCTAACAATAAGCTGGTTCATGGTTCCAATCTGTCATGTCTTGTCAACAGGGCAAGCCCTTTGTAATAGCCAATGGCTATCTAGTTGGGCTGCCCTGGGTGTGAGGGACACACCAAACCAATAAAATTGTTCCAATTGTACATACACAGCATGAAGCATTGTAGGTAATATGTTAAGAGTTGTGTCAAAACAAATTGGGGACCCCTGCTTCTCCTATTGGGTCAGTTAGTCCTCACTACTTGTGAGAAATTTGGCTGGTCTCAATAATGATGTTTCTGACTCAGGGAGAAGAGTTGCTGTTACAGTTCTATACCTCTAGCTCTATGCCTAGAGCTACACCGTTAAAAAAAATCAATGGGAGGGAAAGGAGGTAAAAAATAATCTTTGCAGATCTTTGGTGGATGCAGCAGTATCTTCTGACAGGAGTGCTGCTAGTTGCCATGATATACCTATATTGGCTATATAGCAGAGAAAAGCAGCACTCCAGGAAAAAGCAGCTCTGAGGAAGGTGTCTGATTAGCCTGGTATCCAGTCTGATTCGTGGTCGGGGCCGCAAGAGTTTTGGCCCACCCGCCTCACATAAGCGTCCCGGTGTGTATTTCACGAGAGATTAATTAGCCCTCCTCGTGTTGGGGGAAACCAAATCCCTGAGCATACTGTACCTGATTAGCGTAACACTCCTACCGGGACGGTCTGTTGCACTGGGCGGGGGAAGCTATTAGAGGCCCCGAAGACACAACCTGCCTGAACACCCCAATACCCCCAATCACGATCAGACTGGATACCAGGCTAGTGTCTGATAGGCATCAAAATGTAACCAGGAGAGTGACAGAGTTGTGTAAGAGAAAACCCCAAAATGGAAAGAGATCCACTGCTCCATGTACACATACCTGTCTGCTGAGTGCCTTCATGTGAGTCACACACCCTCGACAGTAAGCCTCCAGCAGGAGTCCAAACCTCACAGACACTGCAGGGTTGTGCATCTCAGACCTAACAAAGCACAAGGTTAAAATCTAGTTGAATTACTAAGTTCATAATCCTGGAGTTTGAAATTATAAACATTGAGTTCAAGAGTTCAATTTTATTTAAATCAACTGGCATGTACACAGATTCACACAGAAAATGTGACATGAAATTCGTTGACAATTAACAAAAGCTCTCAACATGAAGACAACGATTAAAAGCAGCATAATTAAAAACCAGTTAGAAATACAAAACACTTGTGATGAACAGAGTTCAGTTCTTATACTTATACAACTTAATCGCTCTAGTAAAGAACGAAAGTTCATGTCTCTTTGTACGGCTTTTACGTCATAACATGTCTGACTCGCCGGAGGTCATAGCCACTGTGTAAAGGACGGGAAATGAAACAGTTGAAATTGTGTCCAAAACAAACCACAAAAATTTTTTTTGTCTCTATCTGGCTATGAGTAAAAAGACCTTAGGCATGTTTAAAACAGTCTCTCAACAGTCTGTAAACAATCTCATCAAGTTGCTGAATGATTGAATAGCATGACAATTCTTTATTCACAATCACTTGTTTAACATGAGCCAACATTTCGATGACCGACTAGCTTCAGTGCACAGTGAACCAGTCATAACTTTCCTGATGAAGATGACAGGCAGTTTGGCTCTTGTTAAACAAGTGGCTGTGAATAAAGAGAAACTAAAGTGAAATGTGCCAGATGGACCATGCTCGGACACATTCTAAGAATGCCGACAGACGCACCTGCACAACAAGCCTTGACCTTTGCCCTGGTATAGGATCTAACACTTACAGATCCAGAAAGGGAAGGCACTGCAGTAATCTGCTAAGTTTGCTGAGGGCAGACCTCAAGGAAAGAGGTCACCATTGCGGTCAGAAAGAAAACTCCAGGAGCTCAGGAGGCTCGCAATGAATAGGACGAAGTGCAGAGAACTGAAGAAAGACTGATTGTTGCTGCAGGATGCTAAGCTACTGCAGCAGCAGAATACAGTGGACTACTACTGTGAATAAAGAACTTCGGTGTACATTGTACCTGAAGTGCCAGAAGAGGTAGTGTCCGATGCGTTGGTTGTTGAGGCCGCGGCTGAGGAGGAACCTGGCCAGCTCACAGTCCAGGTAAGCCTCGTACTTCAACACCTGCACCAGCTGCAAAAGGTACTGAGACAGCTCCTCATCTCTGTAAAAGAACAGTAAAAAACATAGGTTAGTTTCGTTTTTTGCCTGTATGTCTACATGTAGTTTTAGACCTTAAGAGAGCCACTGTACTTTTATTGTGTCAATAAAGTATATAAACAGTCACACACAGCCAGTGCTCAAAATACATGATTGACATTGTCCTTTTTTCTGCACTGACTCCTATGTTTCTGTAGTATACATGCACTGGTGCAGGTTAGGTGCAGATAGACATCAGAGATACCTACACAGCTCCAATTTTGTCTTCACAATTTCACCTGCATTTTAACTGCATTCTGTACATATGCACCCAGTATTTTGAGCCCTGACAACATTACATACATGTATGTAGGAGAGGGATCTGCCCCAGAAGCTTTGCCAAAAACCAGTAAGAGCACAACCCTTTCACAAGATAGACAGATGAAAAGCAGGTAACAATGCAGGCAACTACATCATGTGGAAGTTGAAATATCTATATGAGTAAGACACCAACCTACATGGTTGTATTCATAGATAACAGTGTCTAGTAAAAACACAAAAAATCAAACAAGAGTTAGCATTTGTGAGCAAAATCAAGATATTTCTCTTACCCTATTACTAAGTATCCCTCCCCTGTCAAAAATGGACAGCTCCAAATTTATCCCTGGCCTGCAAAACTAAAAACAAAGGAGGCTACAAAGTGAATCATTATGGACTCACGTCAGTTGATTCAGGCACTTGACGGCAAAAGCCCGGACAGCCTGGTCAGCATAGTTGTAGTCCAGCAGCTCCATGGCAGCGTGTGGCAGCAGTGGGGACCAGGCATTCAGCAGAGCCTGCATCTGGGGGAGGAAGGGGACCACGAAAATTTATTAATGGTCTTCCCCCTGTATATAGTAAGGACTGTAACTGGTACAAAGGGAATGAGCAATCCACCACTTCCGTGACGGCACGCAGATAACACACGTGACTCCGTGAGCAGTGGATCATAGGTTGGTGATCTTGGTAGGACACATGTATTTTTTGCCTTGTGTAAATTGGGCTATTGTCTGCAAACAGCAAAATTTTGATGCAAACAAACATTCAACAGAAACCGTAAAAAATGTACGTTTTGCGTAGGTGTAGTACACTCTGCCACTTATAAACATGTACAAGAATGTGTTCATGAAAGTTCATCTGAGTGTGTTAGTTACATGTTTAAAGTTAAAACTTTTGGTCCAACACAAAAAATTCTCTCACCTAGAGCTTTCGACCAGTCACTCTGGTCTTCCTCAGTAGACTGACCCAGTGAAGCTTGTCACGTGGCTTCTTTGAAGTGTGACGTCATCACTGGGTCAAAGGTATCTGGTAGAAGAGTCACCCGGACATTTTGTTTCACTTGACACTTTAAGGATTTTAGACACTGAACAAGACTATTTCTTGAGAGGGGTGAAGGAAGCCATTTACATCAGGGCCTATCACCCTTCATTGAACCGCGACGGGGGCCGACATCGTCTACCAGATACCCTTGACCCAGTGTTGACGTCACACTTCAAACAAGCCACGTGACAAGCTTCACTGGGTCAGTCTACTGAGGAAGACCAGAGTGACTGGTCAAAAGCTCTAGGTGAGAGAATTTTTTGTGTTGGACCAAAAGTTTTAACTTTAAACATGTACAAGAATACACATGTACTGTAACAGTTACAGTGACTGCAGTTCTACCTGTGCCACATCCCTGTGGTTGTTCCACTTGACAGAGGACAGCAGCTTGGCCAGCGCGTGGGGGAACAGCTCGTGGATCTTGTCCCGCAGCTGCCAGATCATCTCCATGTCCTGGTCAAACATCGGAGCCATCAGCTCGCGGTCCAGAATGCACTGCAGCTGGTCTATTGCACCATGGGAACTCTGGAACACAGGTCATGGGAGAGGTCAAAAGTGAGAGGTGAAAACTTAAAAACTGTGATGTTGAAGAGGTTCATCAGTCACGTAGTATTAACAGTTAGTAGACATTCTTCGATCAGTGACTGTATTTTTGTAAGGTAGATTACAAACCTCCAAATTTTCGATGTCCACTGTACATCTTTTTCACGGAGTGACCTAGTCTCGCGAGAACACGAGACTTGGTTGAGACTTGTGTCCATGGATCTTTTGGACATAGGGTCACAAATGGCCCTATCTTGGACATCGTTAAGATCATAGACCAGGAATCCCGGAAGTCACATAGAAAGATTAAGGAAACAGTCCACATCCAGTTGAAACGTTCCGGGATGAATCGCAATGAAGGTTGGGAGCTGCCCAAGTCTTACCTACCCCTACTCCGCAAGGAGGCAGGGGAGGCCAGAAGATCCACACAAGTCTCGACTTAGCCTCGTGTTCTTGCAAGACTAGGTCATTCCGTGAACAAGATGTACAGTGGACATCGAAAATTTGGAGGTACGTAATCTACCTTACAAAAATACAGTCACTGAATTTCTACTAACTGTTAAAAAGGTGAGAAGTGAAGTCTTGAAAATAGGTCATGAGATAGCTATGAAAGGGGAACTCATATAGGGAAGTAGGGGAGAGAGGTAAACATTTAAAAAGAGGTCACAGGAGAGGTAAAAAGTGAGAGGTAAACATTTAAAAAGAGGTCACAGCAAAGGTGAAATGTGAGAGGTAAACTTGATGAAAAGGGGTCAAATGACAGTCAGATGAAAGGTGAATTTCTAAAGTTTATGTCAAGAGAGGAGAGGGGTGAACATTTGAAAGCTTACAGGAAAGATGAACTCTTATTAATTAGACCTTAGAACAAGTATTATTAGTTGACCCATATATTTTTTTTGTACGTAGGATAATTTCGTTGTACCCATGTATAGTTGTCTGTATATCTACATGTCTTAGACCTTACGAAAGTCGCTGTACTTTTGTTGTGTCAATAAAAAGTTCTCTGTTATTAATAAAAAAATTAACATACCGCTGAGGCTTGGCTGTCAGCATCATCACTGGCACGCTGGGTCTCCTCAGCCACATTAGCAGCACATTCCAGAACCTGTAGTTGTAGTACAAAACAGTAACAACATTGTTCCTTTGGCCTGACAAGCTCAATGTGTCAATTCTATGTATTATATGCAATAGGTACATCTTCACATGGTCTAGCCTTAGAAAGCAATGCTCTGTTTATTCTTACTCAAACACATCCATATTTGAAATAAAGACTGAACTTTAACTTCCAACACTAGATATCTAGTGTTACACTAGATATCTAGTGTTACACTAGATATCTAGTGTTGGAAGTTAAAGTTCAGTCTTTATTTCATAATGATTTGTACCAACACAGATGAACTTTCATGCTACATCCATATATATGGTGACCAGTCCTTCCAACATCATATGATGTCTGAAGCGGCACTATATGTAGTTACCATGGTGACAGACACCTGGTCCAGGTCATTGAACTCTTTTGTTTGGAGAGGAAGAAACAGTGCTAGAACAATTATAGGTCTTCCTTTGCAAGGATAAACATAACTGTTACACTAGAGAAGTAACATTTGCAAAGCAAATGCATAATGTTTACCTTCGGACATGGTCTGCTCTCACTGTTAATTCTTACTCAAACACATTCACATACATATACTACTTAGTACAGGAGCAGAGCAGACCATGAAATTGCAACATTATGTAACAAATCATGTCATTGGTCAGGTCAGAGGTCACTGTTTGGAGAAGAAGAAGAAGAGGAAGAAACAGAGCAAAAACAATATGTTTTCCCTCGGTAAACATAACAATGATGTACCTTGTCAAAAGGAGGGTAGATGATAGGGCATGTGTGGTAGGAGTGGAGCTCCACCTGGAGCGCTGTAGCACCAAAGTTGGGGTTGGACACGACCGTGCCAATGGGATTAAGGACCTCGGCACCGCTGTCTGGCCACGGCCAGGTGTGCAGGACAAACGTACCAGCCCTCAGGTGGTCACGATAGTCAAACATGGTGATGTTCACCCAGCCTAGGGGGATGGAATCCTTAGGGTAGGACTGGAGAAAGACAAAAACAGTATTACATTTGTGTTGTATATACATAAACATGTACCTTTAAGTTAACACAAAGTTGAAAACTTGTGTGTAACACCATTTGGTGACTCAGATTGAAACATTCAAGAAATTGGTAGTAAAAGGACAAGATTTTTTTTTCAAACTCGTTTGCAATATCCAAGTGCAGTATAGAATAGTATTACATGATTTACTACAATTCCATTTCGAACTTTATTACATTGTGTAGTACTATTACTTAATACAGTTTGTAAAAAAAGTAATGTCCTTACCTTTGTCCTTACCTTACCAAAAGTAATATGTACAAGAATAGTACTAAAGAGTGTTTATGAAATCTTAATTCAAGAAGTCAGGAAGATTAATTCATTTTACCTCTCTGGACTCCCTCCCCTTTTTGCTCTTCCTGCCTTTCTTCCCAGCTTCGTAGATGGCGAGACAGATGCGAGCCATGCGGGGAAGGTCATTGACATCCAGGTCAAACTCCAGGGTCTCTGACCAGGTGGCGTCACCCCCGACACACGAGGCTTCCTTGGTCGTGGAGATACTGCATAGGGTCTCCCCACCATGGTACAGGCCTGCCTTCACAAATACCTGGGGATACATACAACACGTGGTATTACGTATCGCCCGAGGTATCGGCCCGAGGGCAATACACCGTGTTGTATTTTATTTATGTCATACCCACCCAAGAAAACGCGCCTTTCAATGCAAGATAAGCCAAAAGTTGGTGCCCCTAAACCCTCAAATGCAACATCAGTTCCAACGTTCGGAGTCTGTATTCAAATTTTTAAAGCGGCGCACGCGGTTACAATGTAGGATGAAACGCGTTTGAATTGTTCTATGGAAGCCATGGAGCCCAGGCCGTACCGTAAAGTACGGCCCGGTCCTGAACCCGTTATCGAACGTTATCGCGGCCTGGGTATGATATAAATACAGGTATGACAACAGTGCCACCTATTAAAATCTCTCAGAACTGCAGCCATTTCATAGTTTTAGACAGACATGACTACATACATGTAGGATATCTCGGCTCCAAAAAGCAAAAACGATATACAAAAATTTGGATTTGTGGTAGGCCCACACTGCAAAATTATCTTGAATTTGTATGCTATTATTGCAATTCAAATCATAAAAGGACAGAAATATATGCTATGTTTCCAAGATGCAGTACAATTGGCATTTGTTTCGTGTTTACATGTAATAATGTTTGTCCTTGGTGCTGAAATGGTATCATAACAACATTTCCTGACCCTCCTAGTTTCAAAGGCTTTATCCTTTTTTCTTGATTACCCATATCAGTGAGAGTGATTCTAGAACCAAGACTTACATGTAGCACTAATTTTTCTTGCGACAAAAACACAACTAGAAAGGTAACATTTGCAAGGCAAATGCATAATGTTTACCTTCGCATACATGTATATGGTCTGCTCTGTTAATTCTTACTCAAGCACATTCATATATATGATCAGACAGGAGTCTAAATCCCTCCTGCTCTAAAATTGCAACATGATGTAACCCAACACTAGTTACCATGGTAACAGACACAACAATGGTTAAGGTCATTGAGGTCACTGTTTGGAGAAGAAGAAGAAACTTAGCAAAAACAATATGTTTTCCCTTCAGTAAACATAAAAATAGTTCAGGGTTTCTTACCTTATTGTTGTCTCCTGCATTCAGACTGCTTGCGTTCACTATGGTGATCTTGACCCTTGCCTCGATGTTCCACAAAGACACCATCTTCTCCTGCTTACAGGGGAGGGGCGGGGGACCCTCGGGGTCAGGGGTCGTAGGAGAGGTCACTGATTCAAGGTCAATGTTGTCCAGCTTCACAAGCATGAGTTGGGGCGTTGTGGCTTTGGACAGGCACTTCCGTACATACTACATTGTGTGAAAGAATAAACAGTTGTAGCTGTATTTGTAAATTTCTGTAAAAGTGAAAAATACAACAAGAAACTTATGGTAATATAACATTTGTAAAGCAAATACATTATGTTTACCTTCATTTGCATGGCCTAGCCTAACAAACTATTGCTCTGCTTATTGTTGCTCAAACACATTCATATATAATACTTGTGAGCAGCCCTTCTGCTACAAAATTTAATCCAACACCACAGGGTGTCTGCTACAGTGCTACATTGTAGTTATCATGGTAACAGACGTCTAGTCCTAGTCAATTGATTTGTTTAGAGAAAAAAGAAGAAGAGAAAGAAGAAACAGAGCAAAAACAGTATGTTTTCCTTATGTGAAGATGAACATTTTTTAAAAATTGGACCATCCATACAAACCCATTGGTTGAAGAGGAGACACATTATACATGTAAGGAGTGGCAAAACTGGATGTCATTCTACCTGACCGTAGACTCTACTCTTCTCTTACTTACATTGTATCATGTACAATATATCACTGTCAGACCCGTTTATGAAAAAGTTTATTGCAAATTCGTGCAAGGAGGCTAATTGCAAATTAGAAAACATAAAAGAACAATGAAACAGAGTTATAACTAAAGTCTATATGATAAAGGTAGCTGTCTAGAACTATAACTATGTCTGAAGGGTTTTGACTTCTCTCCTGTAAAAAACCATGGAAGACATAATGTCCAACCTTTTCCAAAATTTGTGGGTTTTGAGAAGTTAAAAGAAGAATAGTTTTTTCTTGGTCTGTAAGTTTAGAGAAATTGGGATAAATTGTACGAAGAAGTTTGAATAGTCATCTCTGACATTTTCAGCATTGTTATGGAATGAACAGTTTGAAATGAAATATAGTTATGAAACTGTGACCTTGAGGACTGACCTTGAAGCGGCTGATGGGGAACTCGCCGATGAGGTAGTCAAACTGTCCGCAGACCTTCAGGGCAAACTCTGCCGGGTCCTCCTCCGGCTGGCGTAGGAACGAGGCTTTCTTCTTGAGCGCGAGTTGGTGCAGCTCGACGGGAAAAGCCATGACATGGACCTGGAAGGAGTAGCTCATCTGGGAAGAGTAAGAAAACAAACAAAAAAACACAACATTAAAAATAATAATAAATATAAGATATTAGTGAAGATTTCAAACCTTGGTGAAGTATTTTGATGGTTATTTTTTTGCTTTATGTAACACCTGTGTCCCAGGGTCCATAACATCACCACCTTGAGAAAAAGTGTGCTTTAAGATATTTTTTACTGCAACATACTTTTGGTATGCACTCCTGCACACATCAAATGTACATACCTAGGGTATGGACCCTGGTGATATTATGGACACAGATGTTATATGACTTTGTTTTACTGTGAATTTCTTGCTGATTCTGGTCATATTCCACTGTCACTTCCTTTCAGCCTAAAGAGAGACTGGTCCAACAGGAAAACAAGGTACATGTAGAATGTATAATGCAGAGAGACAAGAGAGAACAGAGAGACAAATGATTTGGTAATAATTGGGTATAATTACCTGTATGGACTGGAATGTTAACATACAAAAGTGACACACAGATTTGTAAACAAACATGTACTGACAAAAAGTCCGACGTTTTGTGCATTGAACACAGAAATAATATTGAAAACACAGAGCTCAAAAAGGAAATTTAGAGAGAGAAGACTGGGCAAGAGGAGCTCAAGAGAGCCATGCACGTTTGCACAACTTTCTGTGCAGTGCAAGTGAGAGTTGGAAGGGGGCAGTGCTGCATTGCGACATAGAGTTTAGAGCTTCCCAAATGTTTGGACCTACATCAGTGTTATGGAAACGGATGTTGACCACGAGATTGTTGTTTGCGGGCTGCATGTGTTTCGGGAGGTCCTCGCTGCATTCGAGTCGCGGCGGAAACTGATACTGCAAACGCTCGACCCAGCTCTTCTCTTTGCGCGAGTCGGCGATCTCGCGAACCATCTGCCTCATTCTACCCCGGAACTCGTCCACTTCAGGGTCCTTCATTGAGTCAAATTCATGCAAGCCTAAAGGAAAAATGTGACATGTGCAAGTTTTCAGCATTACCCTTTTCCTTTCTTCGATAATTTTCCTTCCAATTTATTCCATGCTCCACTTGGAGAGCCAACTCTCATCAGGATCAACTAATGGGAAAAGTTGTAGGAAAAAAATTGCACTAAAATTTTCAAAATCTTTACTGAAGACATCAATGAAGAGTTAATAAGGCCATTTTTGTTCGTGTAAGAAAGATAGACTGGACTAAGTGCTCAATAACCTGGTCTAAGCCTGTAATGATAAATAAATATCATGTTGCAAGAAAGACTATTGCAACTAAGGCCATACCAGTCTAGTTGCTTCCAAAATTTAAAAGGGAAAATTATATTTTTTTAGTAAAATTATTTCAAGGACAGATTAGTACTGTCAGTCTCAAGTTTTCATCCCAGCCCTTTGCCTTATTTTGTCTTATCTTTTATTCCTCCATGCTCGAACTCTTACTGAGTTTTTCAAGAAGCAAATTGTTTGGGCCTAAGATATGAAGTACATGTTTAAAGTTAAAACTTTTGGTCCAACACAAAGAAAGTTCTCTCACGTAGAGCTTTCGACCAGTCACTCTGGTCTTCCTCAGTAGACTGACCCAGTTAAGCTTATCACGTGGCTTCTTTAATTTGAAGTGTGACGTCAACACTGGGTCAAAGGTATCTGGTAGACGATGACGGCCCCCGTCGCGGTTCAACGAAGGGTGATGGGCCCTGATGTATATGGCTTCCTTCACCCCTCTCACCCTTCATTGAACCGTGAAGGGGGCCGACGTCGTCTACCAGATACCTTTGACCCAGTGTTGATGTCACACTTCAAAGAAGCCACGTGACAAGCTTCACGGGGTCAGTCTACTGAGGAAGACCAGAGTGACTGGTTGAAAGCTCTAGGTGAAAGAATTTTCTTTGTGTTGGACCAAAAGTTTTAACTTTAAACATGTAACTACCAACACACAGATGAACTTTCATGATAAGATATGAAGTACATGACTGTTGTTCCTTCTGGCCTCACCTTTCCCTATAAGAACACTGATCTGTGAGTTGAGTAGTTTCTCCACGGCAGCTGGGTCTTTTTTCTTCTGCACCAGTTTGAGGACGGGACGGAAAGGTCGCACGTCACACAGACGGCGCTGCTCCTCATGAAGCTCCTCCTGAGGTTTTGAAGATAAATCCAGATGTTTAAATAAGTTCTTTAAACAGTGTAAAAAATACTTTTTTAAACCAGTAAACGACAAAAATTAGGTTGCCCATCAGAATTTTAGGTTGCCCTACCTATAAGTTACTACTTTCCTCAAATTAAGTAATGTTACATACATATAAGCCTTTGACAATATTTCTAACAGCCTTTAGTTAACTGATACTAGTAATAGCTATTAATACCTAGCATTAAAAAGCATCTGCCAGATACAGTGGTGTAAGCCGAGTGGGCATGATTTTGTGGGGGAGGGATTATTAAAATTCAGGTAGCACACTGGGCTACCTGGGTTCAAAAATAGGTTGCCCCAAGTAAAATTTGGTTGCCCGGGGCAACTGGGCAACCAGGTATTTTGCACGCTGATTTAAAACATTGTTTGTTTGGGTTAACCATTAAACATTTATCATTTCATATAACATATTTTATGAAACAAAAGATAAAGTGTTGACATCACACTTCAAAGAAACTATGCGACAACTCTTACTGGGTCAGTTTAGTGAGGAAGACCAGACTGGTAGAAAGCTCTACTAGAAGGTGAGAGAATTTCTTCGTGTTGGATCAAAAGTTTTAACTTTAAACAACTTTAAAGAAGTTATGTTTATGGTGTGTCAAACTACCAACTTGTCTCTCTCTTCAAGTTATTCTCCCTATAATAACATACATGAAAAGGACATATTGTAAAACTGAGAAGCATTGTGAAACATTTTTCTAACCTGTTCAGCAGTCTGGTTGATGCACATAAAGACATATGACTGTATCTCGGCTAGTTCAGAGTACAGTGGGTAGGTCCGTGCCTCCTGCCATAGGTCCTACAGAAAGTAGAATTAGTAGTATAAAATACATGAAATTATGAAGGTTTCAACATTTGGCATGATCAATATTATACAACTGAAAAAAGAAATTTGCTTTTGTCTCTGGCCAAATGTTTTCAAGCTGTTAACTGCATAGCTGGCCCTCAATTTTTTTCTAGTTCACCGAAAAAATAAACATTACTGGTACTTATAGAAGTAGTAAAAATGTTACTAGAATAGTAGAATTTGTGTCATATGAAATCTCCTTGTTTGTAACTTAATGTATAAAGTGCAATTTTTTACCATTTGTAAAATAAAATTGTCCAACTCTGCAATTCAGTATTATAAACTGTGCTACTGCAAAAGTGCAATAAACACATCTTGAGTCTGAGACTGTAAAATATTATTCAATTGTCGATTCATCAATCTATCCATTAATCCATTCATTCCATCCATTTATTCATCCATTCATTCCATCCATTCATTCATCCATTTACCTTTTTGATCTGCTCGATGGTAGCATCCTTGCTGCATGTGAGCGGGATGTAGATGCCGGTGGGCAGGAGACAGTCCACCTGTATAGTGGGGGAGTCTGCCTCTTTTGCCCAGATGTCCAGCATAAAGGCCTCCACAGGCGGCATCCTGGGTAGCTGTTAGTCACCTAGGTACAAGGTAAACTGTGGGTTAAGATCTGTATCTGTATCGTATAGCCTGTATAACTGCCTTTCTGCATAACATACCAACTTCGCAGGCACGCGGTGCGGCAGCAGCTGGCTACATTATACCGATCGACTTGTTATACCTAACACTTGAACTTCTAAATCTAGACATTGTTTAAAGCTATCTAATGACAACGACCCTACTGTACTTGGTCACAGCGAGTTCCATTCTGCGATACTTCTAGGAAATAATGAATTCTTGAACACCTCAATCCTTGGTTGATAACTGGTACTTGAAGGCATGGCTATTTCTTGTTCTCTAATCTGGGCTTGTATTAATTTAGGTACCTTAGTAGTTCGGACGTCCACCAGTTTATTAGTCCACCAAGATCCACCATAATATGAGCAATCACTGTTTTTGTTTACATGATGTACATGCAAATTATTTGAAGAAAATATGAAAACTACCAGTAGGCAAATCAACCAACCGTCATCCACTTTCTGCCTAATGTGACATTATGGAGATCACACACATGAGGTTGTCTGTCAGTAAAATTTTGAAAGTTTTGTATCAACAATTTGCCCCAGGCCTATGATTTTTATTTGCATTTCTATATCTTGACTGATCATTGGGTGGACATGGCCTTGGAGCTATCATGCAATTTCATTTGCATCTAAATTTACAACAAAACATGTTTCATACATGTATGTAAAGGAGTAACATTATAGGGTGACTCACTCTCCAGAATTCACTTAGGCCTAGGAAAAAAATGTTCTGTTTCCTGTTTCAGCCCTGAAAAAATTAAAGTTGGTAGGTAGGTATTTTTTTGTTGTTGTTGTTTTGAGACTTCAGTGATATCTTTATGGGAGTCCAACTTATACAATAGTTTAACAAAGTAAAAATTGCATGAGGACACTTTTATTTTCAATGTCAATGTTAGAAAACCAATTGTACAACATTTTATCACTCTGACAGGTGTCAGATCATGGAGCTAGAAGTTGATCACCTTGAAAAAGTTATTTATGTTCCTTGCATGGGTCCACCCCCAAAAATGTCTAGGGTCAGCAGGTTTTTTTTAGGGTCAGCCGGGAAACACAGGAAACACACCATTTTTCCCTATGCCTTACTAGTACAATGTAGTACATTTTGTCTAACTTATTGTGCACTCTGTTGGTACTGGAATTGAAATTACCTTACAATCTAAAGAATTTGGCTTGCTGCTGTAGATAGACTGGGTATTTATGAAAACAACGAACTTCTTTCAAAGATTGTCATGACTAATAGGTTAAAATGTTTTTCATCTGACTCATTACTTCAGGTATATTAGATAACCTGAGCCAGACATGCTCAAAATAGTCCCACAAATTTGATTATTTTGACCCATAGATTAGATTCTTGGGCCGTCTCATAGCCAAAGGGGGGCAATTCACAGATGATTTGTCAATTATATCCTTTCTTTTATAAGACTCCTGAGTTGTATGAAACTCATTATTGCATGGAATTGAATACATGTACTCTGACTTGTGTTTCATCTTTTGCTGTATGGCATACTAGTACACATTCTGCTCACTGGGAATTGAACTCTTATCAGAATGAATTGGGCAGAGATTAATTCAAAAGAATTCAAATTAATCATCACATTTTGCTTCTCACAAACAACACTTCTAATCTAATTATCTAATCATTTGTTGTTTGTTTTGTTGTGGCAGTGTATACACCCACTGGGACAAAACCCCATGTCCTAGTGATGCATACTGGTTCACTTGACTTGGATCCGGACTTGTAATAATGTTTTTTAGGTTCAAGTCCAAAAAAACCTAAAAGTCAAGAACCAAGTCCAGACTTATTACCATAAAAGACCATTTCACATACCCCTGTTCTTTCCAAACCACCTAAAACCTTCCATAGATTGTAAAATCTTTGCTGCAAAACAAAGAAAACATTGCCATCGGGCATCGTCAAGTACCGGCCTCCATGTGGCCAAAGTTTCACCCAGACATGTACAACATTGCAAGGCTGCCAACATGCAATTTTGTACATGCCATGTGGGTTTAGGTCCAGACTTACAAGTCTGGAACTGAACCTAAACCTCTTGACTTGAATCCAGACCTGAACCTAAAATTGGGTTTAGGTATGCATCACTATTCACTACCATGTCATACATGTATCTCTATCGGTGCTTCCCTCAAAACGTAACACCGCCACCCAAGTCTTTGAAGGAGGGTAAGGGCCAAGCAGATATGATAGCCAAAACACTGTAATATTTACATGTAGAGCATGATAAAGGCTTCAGAACATACATTGTACAAACACTTAGAAACCATTCTTTAGAAATTGCCTTTCTTAAAGAGGTCTTTTTTTTTAAACACTGCCATATACTGCAAAATCTTTCTCATTTGTGTAGTATACATTTTGTTATGATTTAACGTTACGTCTTGACATTTATTATTTCACTCATCATAAGTGCATTCTTGGCCGTAAGGCCACACCAATTTAATTTCTTGGTTAATGGATTCGCCTGCTTCATTTTTTTTTCTCATTTGCAAATAAAAATAAAAATTCAGAATCAACTGCAAAATGCTAATACTATTTTGCCCTCAACAGTTGAAAACAGTCCTTTTCATCCTACTAGTAGCTGTTACAGTTATTCCATTTTTAGGTTTTCTTTTTTATTGTCGAGGAGAATGAAATTGTTATTGTGTGACAAAACAATACAGCTAGCAGGTGACCACTAAAACCATGGAGGTAAAAAAAGATTACATCCATGCTAAAACTTGATGCAAACAAACAGTACACATAAATATTGATATACATATAAAAATTAATATGTAGCCCCCCAGCTGGGAAAAACCTATTACGTGTCGCTCCTATATATATGTTGCACGCTGAAACAGACAATTAAAGTTGTTTACAAGATAGCATGTCAATCAAATTCTGATGACGCATGTCTGTTGACCAATCAGAGCAGCGCAAAAGGGGCGGTTCTCGTAACTTGGGGTGGTGGGTACAATGGGTGGTGGGAAACATTTTTTGTAACAAAACTTAAAAAAACTACATTGTTTTTGCTTCAACACTACAAAGTAAAGAAAATATATCTGTTGAATCATATACACAATTCGTTAACTATTCAGTATAGAGTTGAAATGTACAAGAAATTGAGCAATAATAATACCAACGACAAATTATGTCAAATGCAAAGTTTCTACAAATCTATAACTTGTCATAAGGTTATCGCTGTAAATATATGTGTTTCTTCCAACGGTAATATGTTGAACTTGTGTTAAGGCATCCTATATAACAGAAAGACTCACTTACCTTTTACAATGAGCTGTATAGGTAGCGTAGTTTCTTGCTTTCCGACACCGGACAGAAATATCTACACATACCGGATAACATGTCTACTCCTATTTAGCTAAGGCCGCGCTGGCATAGGGAAAACAGCCGATCTTCGGAGGTTTGATGCGGGTTTTTCTCTCTCCTCTATGACTAAACAGGCCTTCCTGTTCTGTTACCGTACTGTGCAAAGCATATTGGAAGAAAAACAACCCGGTTTGGGGGCAGAAAACGGGAAGGAATGCTTCCTCCTCTACACCGCACGGCAAGTAGACTTTTCGCTTTTTCACTTCCGCGTGAAGGTTGACCCTGTAACCTCTCAACCTTGACCTTACCTGATGCTCTATGTATGTTGTGAAGGCTCGCTTGTCGAGGTTTAGTGAAGTTTGAGGTAGAAACAAAGCAACGAGTAGGGCGATATCAAGAAGAAATTCTAGGCCCTTCTTGTATAAAAGCCAGACGCAGATACATGTATAATGCAGTTCAAATTTCCATATGCAGTTTGATAGCGAATCAAATGTCCCTGCAACAGTGCAGAATTGACGCGGCTGACGTATTATATAGTGGGCGGTATTGATCGATAAAACATGAGAACAAACAGAATAAGGGTAACAAAATATCAAATGTAAAAGACATACTGTATATAACGCTTTCTGTGACACCTTTGAAGCGTTAAAATTGAATATGAAAGGATATACATTATGTTGTTTTTCTTTCGTTTTCACCAGGTTTCGTGTCAGAAAATAAACACCGAGATTAAGGCGAAGCAAACGCAACGTACAGTCGTTACAGGAACAGGTACAGGCACAATTTAAGAGAGAGAGAGAGAGAGAGAGAGAGAGAGAGAGAGAGAGAGAGAGAGAGAGAGAGAGAGAGAGAG